TGAATATTCTTCTATTAAAGATTTAATACAATCTTTAGAAAAAAATCTTAATGTGGTATTTATGTGAAAACAATTAGAATAACACAAGAGAAGCTTAATCTGTAAACAGAAATGATAACTTTAAATCATCCAGATCCCAGACTAATACAAATATTAGTACATTCTATGGTCTTAATAGCAATAATATGAAGCATTCAAAATCTGTTTTGCACATTTCCTGAGAGCTACTCAAAGTTTCCTTTCATTTCAGCCACCAGTACGAAGATCAACCAATTCTAAGGAGACTTCAGGCATCTTCTCCTAAGTACAAGATGGCACTTCCCACCTGCCAGGGCTTCTTACACCACAGCCCTCCGCAGAGCCCTCCTTCACTTCAATGTAAACTTTGCTCAGTAGGCCCTGGGAGAGAGAGGGGGCAATGCCCAGGGAGCCACCCTTAACCACTGGGAAGACGGGAGGGTGAATGGCTCCCCTTCCATCCCTGGCAGGGCAGTTCTGAGTCACATTTATCAAGTTTCTTACAGACCTCGAGGAACAGAGTCCTACTGGTCCACAGTGGCTGCCAGTGAGATAAAGCATCTTTGTACCTGAGCTCTGCCCTTTCCTGTTTCCTTTGCATTTTCCAACTACCTGCTCCCCAGGATCATACTTAAAACAAATAAACAAATAATAAAAAGCCACTTTTGTATGAGGCTCTGCTTTGGGGAGATGTGGACAGACGTCTTCTCTAAAATAAGAAAATAAGCACTTCCTAAATATCAGTTTATGTCCACCATAATAATTAAACCTGTACGAACATTTGAATAGACTCTTTAGGACTGTTAACCTTTTATGTTGATTATGCCATAAATCATGTGCATTAATGTCCAACTCAGCTGCTAAGAGTTTTTGCTGTATTATTTCTGATAGCCTATTTTGCTTAGTTTCATTAAATTTATTCCGGGAATGTTTTACCTGCTGGGTGAGCAAACTAAGTCTTTTGTGGATTCCTGGCTAGGAGCCCAAAGTTACTAAAACACTTTTGAAAAGAAGGGCTTGTTTACCTACACAGCAGAAAAACTCACTGGGTATTAAGATTGGAAGTAGGGAACTCTTTAACTAGTAAGGTGAAAAAAAATGAAATGCCATTAAACTTTTACTGAGGTAACAGTTTAAAGCTATAAAGGAAGAGAAGATGATCTTTAGATCCTAGTGCCTTCAGTGATCATTTGAAATATAGGAAACTTAACGAGATGAAATAAATCCAGTAGGACTCAGGACTTCCTCACCTTTGTACTTTATTTTATATTTTTAATATGCTGCTTTTTTGCATATCTGTATGACATAGATGCACTGACATTTCCATGGGAAGTATAGTGGAGTATTGGTTGTCATGATCATCTTTCTCATTAAACCATTGGCTTCTCCTCATATTTTAAAATACAAACAAGAACTATATTAAAGTCAGTGAAAAATTTGCCCCAATACATTCACAGGAGCATTTTTATGGGAGAAATAAGTGATAATGACTTTCTTTTTAAGTTTTCTTGCTTATCTCTTTGAAGGCTTTGTGTGATTTAAAGGGATTTTTTAAAAAACAAATGGAAAGACTAATTCTATGATTTACTTCTAGCATTTTGAATCATCCACTCTCTGGAAAGGCAAGATCTAGGTTAAAATCTGGTTGTGACAATTACTACTCAGACAAATGTCTGTAAGCCTCTAGTTCAGTGGTAGCAAACCTACAGCATGTGTGTGTGTGTGTGTGTGTGTGTTTTAAAGGCAAAACATATTAATATGTGAGTTGTTTTTTCTAAACTAAGCCTCAGTATTCAGATTTAATTGTAGTTTGGTACTTTGCAATAAATAAGTGGGCTTAGGGTTGTGGTCTGTGCACTTGTCTCTAAAAGGTTCACCATCACTGCTCTAGTCCCTTGTCTTTGAAAAGGAGATAACAAGTGTCTATCCTTTGAGGTGAATTCTGTACAGTAAGGTTAATTATTTAGCACAGTAAGGATTCAACAAATGCTATTATTCTTCATCATTATCATTATTAATTTTTTTTGTGCTGGGGATCAAACTCAGGACCTTGTGCTTGCGAGGCAGGCAGCAGAACCACTGAGCTAAATCCCTGGCTCTTTATCATTATTAATATAATCATCCTCCTCCTCCTCCTCCTCCTTGTCCTCTTCAAATGTCTAATGACATGGGATAGGTAAAAGCTTAAATTACTTGGAATGCTATCATGAACTTAATTCTTTTCATGATTCTGATTGCAAACTGAATTGGCTAAAAACCAAATCAAATTTTCCTGTAAGGTCAACATCAAATCTAACAATTAAATTTGATTCTTGATTTGGTTCTTATCCAATTCAGTTTATAACTAGAATTGTGGAATTAAGTTCATAAACTGAGATACCACTGAAATCCTATGAGGCAGTAGTAACTCAGTTTTATGGGGAAGGAAATCAATAAAATTCAAATACATTTTCCACAAAGTTCCTAAGTGACAGAGCTGAGACATAAACCATTTCTGTTGAACAATAAAGTTTGTAACTTTCTACTTAATATGGTTTTGTAAATTTCAGTAATCTGTGAAACAAATTCCTCCATAACAACCAATTTTTTTCTACAAATTATCATTTCAGAAAATCTTATTTGCTAAAGATTTTTGCTATTTGAGAATTCTGAATCAAAAAGTTCTTGCCAATCAAAAAAATTTATATTCTGATTACTATTGGAATCACTGGTATCACTGTATAGCTTCACAACTCATATTTTCTTTGTACAGTACTTTGCTGGTTGGAACATATAAAATAGTTAATATATAATTCCTAACATAGGCAAAGATAGTAAATAATTCTGTCATGTTCTTAATAAAGTAAAAAAAATTTAAACTAACTCAATGAGATGGATTATATGTTATATTTTTTATTTTTCATGTATTAGAAATGAATACTATAAAAAATAGCCTGTGGTCCAAAATATGACTTTTCAAACACTGAATGTCTTCTCCCAGAGACACTTTGGATTTATTACAAGGCCTTGTAAGGTCTAGTGAATCTTTCACTCTTTTCCACTTCTTTTCTACTTGCTGTAACAGAATTGTCAGGTCAGTGACTTACTACTGCAAATTCAGCAGAGCCCTTGCAACATTATGTGAGGCACTTTGAGATCAACCCAAACCATAACTTATGGTGCCACAAACAAAAAATAGAACATCAACAACAAAAACTTTCCTGTTAGTCTGCATGTGTCCACTCAGCAAGTGGGTCGCTTTTGTTCCTTGATATCAGAAACATGGCTTTGAAAAAACAGCCAAACCACATCATTTTATTTGATCACACTTTATTCTTCGTATCAGTACTCGATGCCTAGCTCTTTATGTGCCCAACAATGTTCTTAGCACTGAGAACAAAACAGGCCAAATCCTGCCCACATGAGCTAATATTCCAATGACAGATAGAAAGGGGAGCTCATAAGAACTATGGGTGAGAGCAGGCTGCCTGGGGGTTCCGGTACAGGACTGCCCGCCCCCTCACTGGCAAAACCAATGGGAGCCTGAAGTGTATTGTGGAGCCTAGAACTTTGAATCAGAAAACGTGGGTTCTAGATGGTGCTGTGACCTTCTTGGTTACCGACAAGTGAAGTAAATTGTCACATCTTTTTTGGTTCCATTTGCTTATCTGTAAAGGGAAACGATACCAGTTCGAGTTTTCACTTTTCATACAAAAGCAAATCTGAATTGAGTCCAAGTTACTGTGTTAAGGACTCCAAATCTCTTTCTAGTTTCTGTTTTCCAGTTTTTGCTTCTTTAACTAATAAGATAAGCTTTCTTTTTCTACCTGGATAATTCCTGTTGGGATTGCAGGATTCAGCTTAAGAGTTTTGTCTGGTACATTTTGATTTTTGCCTTCATAGAAAAAAATATGAGACATATTGCTACAGTATGGTCTCCTTCCAAGGAATTGTTAGTAAATAGTAAATGAAATAAGATGACCCTTTTAAGGCTGGTGATATAAATTAGCAAAATACTCTCCAAAAATCCTCTAGATTCACTGGCATTTGATAAGAAAGCCTGCCTTGAAAGAGTTTGACTATGACTATCAATACCTTAGATTATATTTTGGCCAATTTTGGTATTATTTGCTACCACATATTTCTCTTTTTATCCCTCCTAGATAAGCCAGTCAGGAATCTCTGTCTTACTTTTTTCCTTGTAATTGAGAGACAATGTTTGATACAGCCACATGGGGTATATCATGATAATTCAATATATGTACGCAATACATAATAATGAAATCAGGGTAATATCTTTACTCTTAATAATTAGCTTATAAATGCCCAAAACACTAAGCACAAAAAATATCATGTTAGTTGTCACATGAATAAAAAAGACAGTAGATTAAAAAAGAAATGTGAAAACATGGTCACATATTTATGAACAAATGTATCTAATTTGACAAAATTTTAACGTACCTGATAGCTTTCCACTATTTTTTCTACAACATGCTTCCAATGAACTGAAATCTCGGAAGATGATAAGACTTTGACGCCCACATCAGTGGGAGCTTCATTGGGGGCTGAAATTTGATGATAACATTAGCTTTATATAAAGAAATTTGAATAATAAATTAGAACCATAATTTAATATTTCTAAAATAAAATAAGTTCTGAAATTTTATCTTTCTTATTTTTACTAATGGTACTTTTCCCAGAGTGAGTGGTGACATGCCTATACATATTCAGACACAGGGACGTCGATGTAGATGTACACATACACCCACACACTTTTACCAAATATAGCACACTTCATGGATATTTATGATATCTGTGAGCAAGAATTGTACTAATTTTTTTATTTCTTTCAACAGATATGTTCAACAAATCCCACTGATGCAAATTAAAATTAATTTAGCAGTTCTGCCTTACCAAAATAACATTGGGTATTATAGAAAATTGTTCACTATAATTAATTTTATCTGACTTGCTATTTATATGAAACAAAGATACATGAAATATTTAATAAAAATTCCCACTTTTATGTTTAAGCTAAAGTTTAAAAAATGGCTTTACGATCCTTTGAAGCCAGTTTTGACGTCCACTATTTCTTGGGCTCAGGAAAGTGTTTGTCTAATCTTCTAACTGGGCATCAAATCAAATATGTATCAAAAAGACCTCTGTTGAGGAAAAAGTAATTTACATCCCTAATGAAACTGACACAAAGAAACCAAGAAAGCCTTTAAGCAGGGTGATCAGTTTTTATTGTCTTTCATTCAAAAGCCATAATCCTATTTAATGTTTAAAAATTTTTACACATGAACACTGTTGCCTTCCCAATCAAGGTGCACATGGAGTGAGCATTATGATTGATTTCTTAGCAGTAGAAGAAAAGATTAACAACTTATACAAGTTTCAGCACATGCAAGTCTTATGAGAGTCATTAAATACTTAGGAAAGGAATATAATTAAACACAAATGGCCATGAGTAAATAGAGGGCAAGTACTGTCTTCTGCATAAAAGCTGTTAGCATCAAATGAAGGAATAAGAGGTTGATATTAGATGAAAAGATAACTTGTAAAAGATCATAATGTATACCTAAAATGTACCAATAAACTCATTTAAAAAAAGATAACATAAAAAACTTTTAACTTTCCTTTTCTCTGAGAGATATATTTGCTGTTTTCAAATTATTAAAATTGAGTCAGACATAGAGAATATAAGATTTATACTAAGATCTCTTCCGCTAGTATTTGATTCCAAATTTAAATTATTTCAACTTCTTATTCCTTTATTTTGTTGAGCTAAATGACTCATAGAACCGCTTTGCATGTTTGTAAGTTAAAATAATTTTCATTGTATATAATTAAAATATGCAATATGATGTTGTGGGATACATTCATGTATACCTATATTTATATGATGAACTGGTTTGTTTCTACTGAAAGTACAGATGAGATGATTTGAATACATGTTACATTTTAACAAATTTTACAGCTAACAAGTCTATGGCAGAACATGTGTGAGAATTTCTATTGAGTTCCAAGAGATAGCAGTGTTTATTTTAGAGTGAAACATAATGCAAATCAATAGCTACAGCACAGTGCTTTTTCTCTAAGAGGACAGAAGTGTAGCTCACATAGTTTTAATTTCTGAACTTCTGTATTCATGTGTCCCACACATGTGCCACTACTTGGACAAAGGTAAATGTGTCGGTCAGAAGTCAAAGGGATCTTGATTTGCTTTTCTATGTCTTAATTATTTACAAGGTGTGCATGAGTAAAGAGAGGTAATATGGAAGTTTTCCTTTTTGATGAAAATATAAATAATACAAAACTTATTATTTTAAGTAGAAAATGACAGAAAATAATGTTTAATTTAACTATGCCTCATCTAAAAGTGTGCCATCTAGCTATATAAACTCCTCTATGTTCTGTTGGGTTAAAGTGTCTAGAAATGCACAGAGAGCCATTACCAGTATTGATTTTTTACCCTATGTGGCCTATAGGATAATTTTTTCTCCTTCTAAGGAAAAATAACTTTCTGATCCCTTTTCCGTGTAATTATATCTAGATTCCCTTTCATAATATTCTAGTATTCTATTGCAACAAAAATTACATGAATGATAAAATTATAAAAACCTTGGGCTAAAATTTGAGACAATTTTACAAGTAATATATATGTTTTAGAATTTTTAAGTACTAGACTTCATGAATACATAGGCATACTGAAGTTCCAATCAAATATGGAGAATTGCTGGCTATAAAGTTACAACTAAGAGGCAAGCAACAGAAGTCCCAAGCAATGACTGCAAGGATGGAAAAATATTTATAATTATTTTTGTCATTTATATGGGGAGACTGATGTAAATTTGGGTCAAAATTATACTCATTTGCTAAATGCATTATACTATAAAAAGATCTTTGAAAATAAGGCCTGAAAGAAAGCAAATTAAATGCCTACCAGAGAATTCCTCTGTCAGTAAGGTTGTTCTTTTACCTACCATCTTGTGCTGAATAAATGACAGCTATAAGGCTGTACGGTCCATCGCCTTTGTTGTTGAAGGCTTTAACTTTGACTTGAAATGCCGTGGAAGGGCTCATGGTTTCATCTTTATGGACATATCGGCCAGTGTCTGGATTAGTAACTGTAACTTTTTTCCATTCGTCTCCATCAAATGGCTTAAATGCCACTATATAACCAAAGTTGTTGCCATAGTGGTATTCTCTGGACAAAGGCTAACCGAAGTTAAAATATTAAACAGGTTTCAGTGATACAAATGACAGGGGGAAAAATCCTGTGTGAGTGAAGTTACACATGGAAGCATACTCTTGGCAAAAACATACTTAGTTCATAAACTAGTACTGGTTTAGAGGGCCAGAGTAAAACATTCTGCATGTACGATGAGCTCATTTAGCAAGTAGCAACCCTGTTAATCCTTAAAAACTCTGGATGCTCCCACCCAGAGCTTTCCTACTTGCCTCTGCCTGAAATGGGCTCTTAGATGACATATCCTTCCCTCCTCTCATTCTTAAGATGTAGAACACTCACCTGATGATGTTTTCCACATCATCCGCAGAATCTGCCATTTCAAGATTTCTTCCACAACACTCAAGATCCTACCTCCTTGTTTCATCTCTACTCTTTAACGCTACTCTAATCTAACCCTACATATTTTATTTACTTATCTACTTCATTTTCTTTCTCAATGACTAGAATACAAGATGTATAAAGGTAGAGTTTCTGTCAATTTCCTTTTCCTTTTCAACCCTCGCACCTAGTACTGGGCCTCAAACAATACATATTTAATGGATGAATAAATACATTTCTTTATAATTAAAAGACAGTGGTAAGAGAATGATTCAGTGTTCTGGAACAGTGGGGGTGAACCTATGGCATGCGTGCCACAGTGCGCTGTTTGTTATCATTGAAAGTTCTAAAGGTTTGCCATCACTAGTTTAGACTATATCATAATAAAAACAGTAAATACAAATAAAACAGAGAAGGTGATGAGAAAGGGAAAATACTGTACTCATTTGTAGGAGTTTGGCTTTGGGCTTCTGCTAACTTTAATACTCCAGCAAGTGCTCACTTCTGCATCATTTACACTAGACCTTAATGAGTGCCAAATATTTCTGGAGTCAAACAGTTGACTACTTAATCTTCTACGCTAACAGATCCTTGAGTCTAGAAAACTTTTCTGCACAGGAATACCCACTAACCCATAAGTCAGATGACATCAAGTATGTATTTAAGAAAAAAAGTAATTTATTCTTGTTTGTGAATAAAGAAGTCTCTTTGATTTCCAATTTATTTAGGGAAAGATAATAGATTTGAGGTAAAGTGTAGATAAAGCACGCTGTCACAGGTGCAATTTATTAGCTTACCGCCCATGTTATCGTCAGCTCTCTGTTGCTTCCACCCCCGCCTCCTACATCTGAAGGAGCCACATTTGGTGCTGAAACAAATAAACAAACAAATGTTAGAACAACAACAAAAATAAAGGCTATGTATTTTTTTCTGATGGTAGAGTTTTATTTACCACAGAAGCTGTGAATTTTTTCTTTCCCTAGGGAAAACAAACCATGCATGATCCACTCAATTATAATAACAATGGCTCACAGTAGCTAGAATAATTTGTTTTGCTGCCAAAACAAAAATGGATTTGCTGCCAAAGGAAACATGCCAGCGTCTGTCAGCAAAGGAAAGTGAAACAAATTGCCCTACCATCTTTTTCTTTTGGTGTCCTTCCATGCAATATGATTTTTGGAAGATGAGATACACTGTGCTGGAAACTATTTTATGGCTCTTACTTTTAAACCCTGTAATCTTCTTACAACTTATTGTTGTGTCACTTTCATGCTTCATTCTACAAATAAATGTTACACATTGGCATTAGCATCAGGTAAGGTTTCCCCACATAATGGGAAACATGAGAAACCTAACAAACCTCACGTTGTCTATTGTGCTGTCACTTCCCATTCCCCAGTCTCCTCCGGAACCTGCCCTGTCAGTGACTCCAGCTCTCTTCTTCCCCATCCTCCTGTATCATCCCTCAGTCTCCATCTCTTCTGGAAAGGCTACTCAGGCTCTCGCCCAAGAACTTTCCAGTACTACTACTTTCCTCTTAATCCCCAAGCCATCACACCCTTTCCTGTCACAAAAGTGCCTGGAAGCATTGATATACAACCGTGTCTGTACTTCATAACTGCTTTGTAACAACCCATGAACTGTTTCTACTTCATATTCCTGAAATCACTCTTTCAAAGATCATAAAACTTCTTTAAACTGCCAAATTCCAAGGCCTCCCTTTTCGTTTATCTCTCTCCGTGATAGCCCCTCAGAGTAGGCCTGTGTCTTCTTGGATTTTTAGACTTAGGCTCTACCTGGAGGAGTACAGATAAATAAACGTGGTCTGCTACCTGCTACCAGCCACATGGGATAAGGTCCATGTCTCCGTAGAGAACCTACATTTTCCCATGTGAATGTGATGGTTCAGTGTGAGATATCACCCAAATCTGTTAATACTCCAAAGAAATGAAATATCAATTCTTCCAGAATCTCTTCCCACAGGATATAACCACATCATCCTTAGACTGCTCCCAGCAAGGTGACATTTACAGAATTTCAGGTCCTAATAATTAATTGTGATTCAAAAGACATACTTCAAAACTTCCTTGGTCATGTAAGTTCTTTGCAAAATGTGAACATTAATTGTATAGAAACAAAAACGCACAATTTTCTTTATTCTAATAAATCTATATGATGACTTCCTTTCCTCATATAGAAATCAATATGAAGTATGAGAAAATTTAATTGACTCTTTAACTGTTACCACATGAGTACTGGAAGATAAAATTGAGTACACAACAGTGTTAAAAGATAAATTATTTGTAGCTCTTCAGTTAAAATACATATAAAAGGTGTTATATTAAAATAACTCTGGCAACTCATTTAACACCATAACTCATATTCTAAGTTGGCACTCTACATGCTATAGAAAATATGTTGTCCTATAATCAATGAATAAAGCAACTTTTATTCATTTAACTCTGAATACAGGCATAGTGGTCACAAGCAAATAACCTCAAAAATAACTCTAAAATAATTTATTATGCTATAATTTTTTGAATAGCACATTGCATCCCTAAGTATATTTGCTGAGACATTTCATTGAGATGCTTTTCATTATAATCAGTTTTAACCTTTTTATTTAGTACAAAGCTAAAAATAGCATGTTTGCATTATTCAAATAAAATTTTTCTACTTTATAATGTTTGTTTTATGTACCTTTGAAAACACATCAAAGATCACCCATTGAGCTCATGTTGAGGAAAATAAGACAATAAATAAAGGCAAAGAAATAAAGGTAATTGTATTACTTACTAAAATACTTTTATATCTTTCTCATAGAAATTATTGACTTAATTTCTCCCATTTAGCTTTGCACATTCAAGTGTAGTCTTAGTACATTAAGGTTTTTTTTTTTTCTTCACACATGAAACTGACACCTAACATCCAAGTTCGAGAATAGAGCTGAGGCAGTTGGGTGCTGTGTTTGTACACAGTCATGCTGACACAGGCGGAGCTGCCACACTGTTATTTTTTCCAGAGAAGTAAATCACCCTAAGCACAACGAAGCTTATTTAACTTCAGGCTCCCGGGTGTTTAACAGAGAACAAACTAAGCATTATTTAAATGATAAATCATTAAAATGAATTTTTAAAATACAGAAAAAACATACTAAATTATTAATCATAGGTAAACAATATTTATAATTTTACTGTAAAATGTTAAAAAGAGTGAGATGCTATAACTTGCCCTCTGCTGTCATTTCAGTCTCATAGTGATTCCTTTGTAATGTTTATGAGTGTCTCTACATTGCAGTCATGGGTCTAAAAAGTTTTAAGAAAGAAAATCAAATCAATGTCATGACTATCCTTTCCTATGAAAAGAAACTAATATTGTCAAATTTTCCTTTTAGATTTGAATACTTAAATAATTTATATATAACTCCTCTTTGGAGTTTGGACTTTAACAATGTACAAAATTGGTATATAATAAATCCTAAATTATGATAATCATAGTGCATATAATCATTGGCCATTGATTTAAAATATAGTGACTACTTATTTCTTGTTAATTATTGCTTTAGCTTGGATAGTCATTTTTTAGAGATAAAAAAGTAAAACATGAATGTAAATTTTCAGTTTACTTTCCACCACAATTTCATTGTGGCTTAAAACAAAATTTTAGTAAGATATTCAGAAAGGTTATATAAGCAATGTCTAGAAAGGCAAAGGGATTGGTCTAATACTTGCTTTCATTCTATCTTTATATATACATTCTTAAGCACCAAGATGTGTAATTCTGAAAAGGCATTAATATCAAATAGATGACACAATATTTGGATATTAAAAGACAGTAGTTTAGTAGTTCCTGATGTCTCTTAATGAGATGCTGGTTTGGTTCCATGGTGGAGCAGGTTGCTGATACTTGCATGCTCTGTGTTAAATTGATGTTCTTCCCATTGTTAAGTTAAAAAAAAAAAGAGTCCAAGATAGATCACAACAATATTAATGTCTTAATGTCTTTCTTGGTAGAAATTTTAGGCTTTTTATTATTCGTGGCTTTGTTTTCAAGTAGGAAATGTAAATGAGTGGAGCAGGGTAAGTTTGTTATTTCCTGAATGGAACAATAATCTATGTAAGTGACCAGGAGAAAGTGTTCAGATGGATAGGAAAAAATGGTGTAAACTGAAATAATTATGATGTACAGTGGAAGTCTAATGAAGAATCCAAACTAACTATGGGTTGTTTATTTAAAATAAGTAAACAAATTAACACTTTCCGGTTTACCTTTTTCTATATATGGAAAAACAAAAGCATCTAATGCATGTGTTAAATTCATTTTCAACCAAAAAATATATGAGGTAATAGACTCTCTAAATCATGTGAATTTCACTGTTCCTTTGATCATTCCTTCTCTTTTCATTGCCTGCTATTAACTTCCAATTGTGAGAAACTTCAACTTTATCTCTTTTTCTTTTCCAAATAATTTTCAGTACCAGCAATGGCCACTGTGCTGTGCTGAGCACTAAAGATAACATGGATATAATCTAATTCAAGTCCTACAGATGCTGTCTTTATAGGTGTAGGAATTAAATACATTTAACTGGGTTTAATTGAATGTGTAGAATATTATTAATTTTATAAGTTTGCTGACTATATGAATGATCCCTGCTTAATAACACATGCATTTAAAATTTAGAAATTGTTTTTTACATACCTGACCTTACCTAACACTTAGATCAGTGCTTCCAAGTATGTAGAGAAGTAGCTTTACTCTCATTGTGTAGGAAAAGAAAGGAATCCTCAAAACATTAATTACCTTGTCCAACTTACATTGCTCCTGTGTAGAGAAGCTACCAACTTTAATTCAGGTCTTCTGATGGTTTAAAAATCTATACTCTTTGCTTCTTTAAAAAATGATTTATCTATTAAATTATTAATGACAACTAAATGTAACATACCAATTTACCATCTACAAATATGCTCTAGGTAGCAGTGCTCTCCTTTATTAAACATGTTTTTTAAAAGAAAGAAAAAAATGAAATAAAGAACAAAACACAAATAGAGAAAACTAAATGAAAGAGCAGATCGCTTTAACAGAAATGAAGTTAAGAGTTCATATATAATATGAAACTGTTGATTCTGGTATTGTAATTTTTCTTCTTTTCCACCAAGATTGGCTTTAACTTGCAAATAAACACAAAAGCTGTCAAAATAAACCTAAATGTACCATTTTAGGATATCAACTCACCAACTGCATCTGCATAGCTATTAGCTCTGGGAATATGTCTTATAATGACACATTATTGCAAAGGACACTTTTGTTATCTCTTTCTTACAGCCAAAATTAAAATGCATTACTAACACATTCTCTAATTCTTCATTAGGGAGCATTCATTTCATAATGCACTTGTCCGAGTCCAAAGAATACACTCAACTGTGCTCTGGAATCTTAACATTAAATAATTGGACAGATAAGGGTACATGCAGCCTTGGATAATGTCACCTCTTTCGATGAGCATAATGAGGCATGGGATCAACCTTTCCATCAAATGGGAACCAGCTTTCATCCCACACCACACACGCAGCATCTCTGAAAGAGTTCTTGTAATGGTACAAGACAAGTATCCCCATTTAAAAGGTATTTTTATTGTCCTGTAAGAATGAAAAAGGTAAATATTGAATTTTATGCATATTCAACTTTTACAAAACAAGTTAAAGAAAAAAATGACAAAGAGAGATTCTACTGAAGTTTAACTCATGATTATTTGTCCAAGATGATTGAAAAATTGCACAAAATCATATGAACTTTCTTCTGTTACATTTATAAAAATGGAAATATAGGGCCGGGGATTTAGCTCAGTGGTTCTGCCGCCTGCCTCACAAGTGCAAGGTTCGGAGTTTGATCCCTGGTAAAAAAAAAAAAAAAAATGGAAATAAACCTCCTAATGAGATAGCCAAGAACAAAGTAGACAGGAGACTCTATTTTTAAAAGCGTATTAAACTTTAAAGTGAACATTAATACCATAATGAATTTTATTGAGCAAATATTATCTAATCACAGTGTTGATTATGTTTATCATAAAAATATTTATAGATGATAAAAAAATTCTCATTTAGAGATGAGAAAATTGATGCTCAGAGATGTTAAATAACATGCTTCCAATCACAGAACTTTTAAATGATGCTAAAATTTCACCAGAGACTCAATGGCTTGGAACTTTAACCCTACATGCTGTCTTCAGAGAGTGTAGACGCAAACCCTTCAGAATTAGAAAGATCTGGATTTGAATCTCGATTCTGCCTTCCATTATATTCCATTATAATTATCCATGGATATATTCTTAACTTCCTCATCTGTAAAATTAGGACTAATGCTAATTACATAAACTTATTGTGGGAAATAAGTACATCAATGAAGTACAGAAATAAGCACTGTGTGCAACCACATATAACAAGCATGTAAACTGTGGTAGCCCTCAAATTTGATTAGTAAACTATCTTGAAATGTTTTCTGATGATAGATCTATAACATAGAGGTTTTAAGATTTTTATTTATTCAAAATAGAAATAAATGAATCATTTCATTATATTGCTACAGAGCAATACCTGGTGCTGACAATAAGACTGTTATCATTTCATATTTGTGTTTGTTGAGCTGGCCCTGATCACATTTAAACAAAGTTATTTTCTACTCACACTAGAGAGAGAATAAATTCCTTAATAAAACTCACTTGAGCAAAAGTAACATAAAGGGAAATGTCTCGAAAGTTGATTCCAAGAAGTTGGTTGCCACAATTTAGGTTTGATATCACAATAAAACAAGTTTTTCCCAGCATTTAAAACACTGAGGTTGAAAATTCAGTGTTTCATGCAAATGCAAGTACATTATTACTTCTACATATGATACTAAATATAAAGTATATTCATAGATGAAAGACATATTGCATCTCTCTGGATTGTTGGGCATTTAGTTGCTTTTAAAACACATTTGATTTCATCAGTTTTACTTTGAGATTAAAACAACTTCTAAGAGGGTTTAAAGGGAGGGGAGGGGATTGGGGAAAAAAGAAGAATCAAGATATATTATGTTCAGGGCCGGGGATTTAGCTCAGTGGGTCCGGCGCCTGCCTTGAAAGCACAAGGTTCCGAGTTCGATCCCCGGTACCAAAAAATAAAT